TATTAATTAATATATTATAACATTGTTGATAAGTATTAAAAAATGAAACCAGAAAAGAAAAAACAAACTTCAACCGTTTTTTAATTCCTTCGCAAAATTCATTATCACTGTCTTTTGTTTTTGTGTTCGTTTTCAAAATATTTACTAAACAAATACGGTTTGCAAACCGTTTTTATTTTCATGTCTCAAAAGACGTGCAAAAACGTTTTCAAAAACAATATGAAACCAATTCCAATCACACCCCATATTTTCATTCGTTTTCCCACTCTTATTGTGTCTAGCAATTGCAGCAAGTTATGCGTGTGCATGTGTGATCTTCTGCATTTATTTTGTTTTTCAAGAATAACACGGATTATGAGCCATGTGACGTTTCTGAATCAGCTTATGTGACTAATTTTAGGTTTTGCTTTCAAACACACAAGGACGTATGAATAATTTAAGCATGCGTATGTGCATATTTACAGTTGGCATGACTAGCGAATAAATTCCGAAATCACTGCTTTTTTGCAATTTTGTTTAATTGCATTAATTTTATTTCATATGGGTTCTGTAAAGGGAAGCCGTTTTGCATAGGGTTTGAACAGAGATGTGGAATAACTGAAACGAATATAGTGGAAGAATGAAGTTATTTTATTTGGCGGTACAGTTTTCAAAGAAGGGATATGCCAATGTGCTTGATAGGACAGTTTAAGTTCTTTTTATTCTCTCCATTTTATAGGATTAAGGTCTCAAAAAACGAGTGTAATTTCTTGCTGCCATTTCTTGCTGAAGAAGGAAGCTACTCTCCCCCTTTCTCATTTACTTTGAAGTGCATATTGCTCACCTCGCCTCCGAACACCCTATAAAATTTCTGTCGTTGTGGTGGTTTCTTTTTTGTTTCCTATGGTTGATGGTTCACGCATCGTGAGAAAAGTGAATTATGAAGTTTCTCCTTAGAAAATGCAAAAGTAGACCTGTCAAAGATACATACTAAAGTTTCTCAAGTGTTCACTAGTCACATTTTGAGTTACCATTAAGGTGTCTATAGACTATATATGCGCATGAAGTGTGTTTTTGGTTTTCTTGTTTTTCAATGCCTTTTTATAATGTTATGCTTCTTTCGTTCTTGGTGATTTATAGAGAGTTGAGAGTTGTCTATCAAAGGTTGAACAGTCACCATCTAAATCAATGCAAGCTGCACTTTCTCCATCATTGAAAGCATTGGTTGCTGAACAACTTTTAAGACATTCAGATGTTGATGTCAAGGTTGCAGTTGCATCTTGTATCAGTGAGATAACAAGAATAACTGCACCTGATGCTCCTTATGATGATGATCAGATGAAGGTACCAAGAATTTATTCAAATATTTTTTTTTTCTTTGGAGATTCAAGTTATGGGCTGTTGGTTCCATCCCTGCAATTTAGATTCATTTCAATTATTGTTCATGCAGGAGGTCTTTCAGCTTATTGTATCATCTTTTGAAAATCTTTCTGACAAGTCAAGTCGATCATACGTAAAGAGGACCTCAATTCTTGAAACTGTTGCAAAAGTCAGGTCTTGTGTGGTGATGTTAGATCTTGAATGCGATGCATTGATTCTGGAGATGTTCCAGCATTTTCTTCAGGCTATTAGGTACAGATCACACCCTTCAATATTTATATATAAATACATGCAAATATATATTTTCCTGCTTTTCTTCCATGCTTTGTATACTTGTAATTGTAATTTTTCCTTGTCGAGTTAGTACGATGGGTAAATGGAACTTTTACCAAGTTAGCCTGTTTGTTTTCATTGTCTTCAGTTGATTACCCATGACTTTGAGTTCTTCAATAATTCTTGTG